ATCACTCACTTCTACTCCTCCCATCTCTGGCCAAAAGAGTTTTGCAGTTTCCTTATCTTAAGTCATTGACACCAAGGGTACCACCATCTTTCATAGACATGGGCTAGAAAGACAAAGAAATCTTGGTAGCAGAGCAGTAAATGAATTAGCATAATGGTTTCCCTCTACTGGCATGAAGGATCCAGAATGGTCTCTATGGCTGTTCTAGAACGACTCTAAAGCTGACTGAGCAGCTAAACAGTTTATACAACTGAAAGGCCAACCTCTGACTACTGGAGCATTTGCTCATGATAGAGTTAACACAAAAGACAAATGAGGCATGCCTTTATGATGAGAAACAATATGTACATAAAGATAATTTACAAACCACCATAATTTCTGGATCAACCTATTTATTTGACCTGATCCCCTTATATACTCCAAAGTTCAGAACTCTGGCTGAGGTTTCCAAGACGCACCAAGCCCTATAAGGGAGAGAAGCTTTGACAAAGCCTCCTACAAAGACCTTTAGAGGCCTAATTATTAACTATCATGTATTTGCAGACACAGAAGCTTAAATCTTCAAGAGATGTTTGGCTTAAAGGAAGAAATGAGGTCTTGCCATGAGATAAAATGAAACCATAATCTTCAAAGGTAGTGTTTTCAATCTGTCAAAATGACAATTCCTCACCCAAATCAGAGGAGAAGGCAAACTGAAAAAAGCTAAAAACAAATGTCCGTAACACACACACACATATGCACACGTGCACACAGTGCTACAGAGAAGCAAGACATTTACATCCATCAGAAACGTACAATTCTGCCTTGAAGCGAAAATCTGGATCGGGTTATAAATCGCTTTCCTATTACCATGCACACAGTCACTGCATCAAATGCTGAACCCTAAGTAACAAAATATATTTCATGCACTCAGATTTTAAAAATGCTTTCTTCAGAGGGACAATAAATATACAACTGAGGCCTGCATCTCTGGGTCTGTAGTTTTTTAAAAAATAAAAGATATGTATCACATCATAGGCTTAACAAAATAGTCGGTACTCTTTTTTATTTTTATTTTTTTTGAGACGGAGTTTCGCTCTTATTACCCAGGCTGGAGTGCAATGGCGCGATCTCGGCTCACTGCAACCTCCGCCTCCTGGGTTCAGGCAATTCTCCTGCCTCAGCCTCCTGAGTAGCTGGGATTACAGGCACGGGCCACCATGCCCAGCTAATTTTTTGTATTTTTAGTAGAGATGGGGTTTCACCATGTTGACCAGGATGGTCTCGATCTCTTGGCCTCGTGATCCACCCGCCTCGGCCTCCCATAGTCGGTACTCTTAACAAATGTGGGAAATATGAAAATCTATTCCTTAGCAACCTCATCATCCCCTGCTAATGAATCTTCTTAAATGGTGTGGCTCTCTGCTTTACGGCTGACCAAATAAAAGCACTAATTAAACACATATAACCATGAGAGGTAAAGACGGGTGAGCCTAGAGGTGTTTAACAATCCCTAGACGCTTAGAATGAGGGGAACTCTCTGGATACCAGACAGGTAAGAATTACACATCATAAATACAGGGACACATTCATACATCTCAGCAACCCCAGGAGATGAAAGACAAAAGCATGCTGACCATGATAATGGTTAACACTGACTGCACTTCTGTGCTGGGGATTTAATATTATTTCACTCAGTCTTTACGATTACTTTCTGAGGCAGTTACTAAAATCATTCCCATTTTAGAGATGTGGAAATCAAGGCTCAGAGTAAGGGTTATTGAAGTTACAACTTGTGTAGATTCCTAAAGACTTTTTAATGGATCTCCCTTAGTGCCTCGGTCACTTACAGATTCCCTGACCATTGAAAACATACCACTAGTGTAACAGAAATTATCAAATTCTGGCAATATCATGAACAGAGTCACACAATTGCCAATGGTGCAACAGGGCATAGAAGTTAGAGAACAGTATCTGGGAGTCACTGGATTAAGAGTTAAAATCCACTGCATCTCCACACCTTACACACTGCTGGAACTAGCACTGAATCAGGTGTTCCAGAAATGACAGGCATTGTGCTGTTTCTTCTACAACTATGACTTGTGTTTCTCTGGCCAAGGTACTCAACTACATAAAATAAAGCAGCTGAATTTACACTACAGGAGGGTTGTGAGGATTCAATGTAACCTTGTATACTACCTGGTACCAAAGAAAAGTTTCACTTCCCCTAGTCAGTCTGGTACAGACAGTAAGGAAATACTGCAGTAATGCAGAGGGAAAATACCACCATCAGATAAGGAAGGAAAAGTTTCAAAGAGATCATGGGATTTGCATTTAGCTTTGAACAGACTTTGGAATCTGTACGGTAAGGCAGGTTTCTGCTGAAGGGTATGTGTGAGATGGCTCACGGAAGGCCTTTTGAGAGACTGTGGAACAACCAGGCAGCTCCTCTACAAGAACATTCTTCCACACAACCCTGGGTAAGTGGGTCCACAGTAAGATTTCTTCTTCCTTTAAGCCATAATTATCATAAGTTTGTCCCCTATTAGTTCCTTGCATTTCAGAAGTATAAAAATTTCCAACTACCATCCTTCCCTAGTGCTAACTTAAGTGCCTCCATCAGGACAGTAATTGACAGAGGGCCTGCTGAACATGTTTACAGAAGATACTGGTAATATAAGTCCATGGGTCCCTGTTTTCCTGCATGCTGTATTATCAGCTACCTTCTTACTCTTTATTTCCCTCCACAGAAGCAAGTGGAGTGCTTAATTATTATTAGTTATTCTTGACTGCACTAGTTATTTCTGAGATCATCATAAATCACAGAAATTCAGTCAGGCAGTAACTCAATGTAAGAGTAGCTGCGTCCACCATCATCTGGATAAAACAAACAACCAACAGGCAAATGATAGAAAGGACCAGCACACTACCAGCCTAATAAGTTACATGTTTACGATGGGGAAAAATGGAAAGAATTGCCATTCTGCAACCTGCAGAAATGTAAAATTCACATTATTTCTAAGAACTAAACCTATTCTATAATTTCAATCATTCGTCAATAATAAAAGGCAAATCAGTACCAGTTAAAAATCAGGCCAGACACGGTATATATTCCAAGTTTCTAAAAAGTTAGAAATTAGCACAAGACATAGTATCAAAGTACTTTTGCTGCCTGTTACAAAATCAGTTAGAAGTTCCTACAGACGGATTTGAGCCCAAACATAAAGCCTACCATGTAATGCAGGTGGCACTGCTTTTTAAAGTTTATACTTGAAAAGCTGATAACCTCAAGAAAATACAATATTTAATTCACCTCTGGATCTCAACTTCATGCCCCTTTCTTTACTCCCTGTAAAAGTATTGCCAGCTAGAGCCACCACTCCTTGGAACAAGATGCCCTTTTGCAGAAGTTACGGCATCGGTGGAGGGAGCCACCTTCTGCACTGCTCTCTGGCATGGTGTCCTTGTTTGGAAGACCAGTGTGAGATCTCAAAGGACTTCTCTTCCAACTAAGATTGAGTTTTGAAGTCTGAAGCTAGACATCTGGAGAAGGAATGGGGACATTTTCTAAACCCAATAAAGCAAATTTAGATGGAAGCAACCTGAATCTGTTAATTTATAAGTGGTATATACCACTTTCTGGGTGATACAGATTAGAAATCTGTCCTGCTCAAATCTTAGGCTGAAATATAATCCCCAATGTTGAAATGCAGTCCCTAATGTTAGAGGTAAAGTCTGCTGGGAGTTGTTTATATCGTGGGTGCAGATCCTTCAGAATGGCTTGGGCCATCCCCTTGGTAATAAGTGAGTTCTTGCTCTGAGTTCACACAAGATCTGGTTGTATAAAAGTGTATGGCACACTTCCCTGCCCCACTTCTGCCTGTGAGATGCCTGCCCCTTCACCTACCATGACTGTAAGCTTTCTAAAGCTTCCCCCAAAGCAGATACCAGCACTATGCTTCCTGTACAGTCTGCAGAACCATGAGCCAATTAAACCCTTTTCTTTAAATTTACCCAGTCTCAAGTTCTTTACGGTAATGCAAGATCAGCCTAATATGCTAGGTATTAAAAGTGGGAGAACTTCCAACTAAACTTTACCCAGAGAACAAATGTGAAAATAAGATAGTACGAATATTTCTTATAAAACAAAATCGAACTCATTTTTCCTTTTAGTGGATGCAAAAGACAGTCCATAAAACAGTCTAACACCCACGGAGAACCACTCAATGAGTTCTCTGTGAGGCTGTAACAGTAATCCTCTATGTGCATGCAACAACTAGCACCTAGAACCATTTATCGATGACCTGTGACTGGCTTCACACAAACAGACTGGTTACCAAAACCCGGTGAGTGGAAAATCTGCTCTGGGCAAGTTTAAGTTTTTATGCTCTTCTGTGTCAAATGAGCTATGAATAACTTGCCAACAACACACTCAAACTTCTTTACGGATCTGTCATTTAGTTTAGTAGATGTCTTTAAAATGTATTATATTTCTATAGCAATTTAAATTATTACCTTGACATTACCTTTCTTACTTCCATAAATAAAGGTGTGCTCTTTATTTAAAAACAACTACTTGCCACAAAAATTGCTCTCTCGTGTCCTGCTTTCCAAAAATATAACTATTAAAAGGCCAGGAACATGAGCTTGGGTGAAGGGAACTTGTTCAGTTTTTACTAAGACTAAACTTAAACTACGAACCTTCATTTAACATGGATTTTTATATGGCTTCAGGTCTCAAAAAAGAGAACATTACAATCTCCAAAGACTAAATCATTTGTCTCTCTTAAGAGTTACTGGAGCAGCGTTGTGCTGAAAGGACAGTCTGGCTCTGCTCTGTTTGCTAATGCAGCACAGATTTGCTGGCCAACTGCAACTGGCTCTAAGTCCTTATCGCAAATAAAACTATTTTTGTGCCATTTCTATTTTTCACTTAAACGTCACCAGCTCTTCAAGACTCAGGACCTGTCAAGTGTTCTGTTGCCAAGACTCTGCCTGTCAGAAAGGTCAGCATCCAGTACCTTCCAGTCGGGTCCCAAAGGGCCTCTCTTGGTCTTGACAGACTGGAATAACGCTGGGTCTTCATCAGCTTTGTAGTCCTGCAAAGCAAAACAAAGTCAGAGGCAGAGAAGAAAACCAGAGAATATTCTTTAACCTTGCCAGAACAGCTCTTTGCAGCTACCAAAACACATGACAGAAACCAGTTAGACTCACTGTGCGTTTGCATAGAAGTAGAAAAACGCTTCTTTCAGACATTGTTTTCAGTTTGGTTTCCTTTGCCTTAAACTTTTATCTTAGGCAAAATAGCTACATAATAAGAAATGATGAAAGTCTTGGACTAGCAATCCACTCTGACTGGTTACTGGACAGCTGTCTCCAAGAACAAATCTTCCAACAGTTTTTAATAATTAAGCATTTTGAGACATGGATAATCGCATTCAAGGAGTAAAACATACCCCTCCCAGTTTTGACACTACAGGTAGATGATGTCACTTGACTGTTAACGCTGGCCAGAGCATCTACTGTGGCTGGGAACGAAATCACAACTACCGATTCTACGGCATCCCCCAACCTCTTCCTACAGTTGGGTCTGTGGTGGACATCTCAATTTCTCGACTGGCCTCTCCAAACCCTTGTTCAGAGAGCCCTGGGGTCCACATGGCTTGGCTTCCTCACAGAAGGAGTGCACCCACGTCAGCCGCTCACTGCCAAAGGAGGGAGGGAGGGGTGTCGTGTAACGGCCTCCGTTCTATCATCCCGCAGGGGAACGGCTCTCAAATGTAGGTTTTATTTAGGGTTCTATTGTATGTACATTCTGTTTCCCTTAGTATATCCTTTTCCTGACAGAATGGAGGAAATGAAAAAAGAAAATCTTCTAAAATCTATCTGCTAAAAGTTCTCCTGTCATTACACACATACACACACACACACTCTCTCTCTCTCCAGAAAAAAAGATAAAATTACTTTTGAAGAGCTAGATCCCAGATTAAAAATCATCATCATCATCATCATCATCATCATTATCATTAAAAGAGAGTTTGCAAGAGTAACTGGACCGTGGTCGGTTGGTCAGTTTAAAATACTGCAAAGAAGGGGCGGGGGAGGGAAGTCCCTTCCTTCTTGAGCAGACTTGTGAAGAGACCCCTTACTTAGTGAAAAATGCCCAGACAAGTCAAGATATGAAACCTTAACTAAAAATCACTGTTCTAGAGATAAGGGTAGTGCAAGCAAAGGCAAGAACTGAACATGCACTATAGCATAATATGAACTTTCCACAAATCAAAAATCTACACTGAGAAGCAGCCACTCAAAACTCAACAGTTACTCAGTGAGTGCATACGCCATGTTAATAACTCCTAAAGAGAAAGTTACAAAGTATGTGACACAAAGAAAAACGTTGAGTTCAGAGAGAAAACAAAACTTTAAAGAAAGATAATTGTGTAAATACTCGACCCAGAACTTAAAGCCTCTCTAAAGACTGTCTACGAAAAGAACCAACGATTATTAGCTAAAATTATTAAACAAGCAAATTGAGCTGGCTATCCTGGGTCTTAATGCTTTAAAACATGCAATGTGGCACAGCCAGAGGTATCAGCATTACCAGGAACGACAAACTGGGATGGACAGGCTGCCAGGAGCTGGACAAGTGGACTGACTTCCCATGTCTGGGCACAGCAGCAGAAAGGACAGTTATTGTCAGAAAGTATGAATTCTTAAACGTCAGTTTTGAACTGCATCCTAAACATGAACAACTCCACTTCTGATTGACAAAAGAATCTACTTACTGTGTGTACACGTGGTTTTAAGACCTGGATTCACAATGAGATATAAGCTACTCTATTAACATAAATAAACCGGTAACACCATAAAACATTTTCTTCTAAGTCAGGGGCTTGGAATTAAAACCTAAAAGCAAGTTCATTTTTTTCAAAAATTTAAAGTATTTAACATCATATCAAATAATCACTTTCAGCATCATTTCCCTCAATCAAAATCTAGTTATTGAACAGCCACCATATAGAAGGTAGCCACAAAATATTATTAATAAGAGGTAATTCAAGGAAACAGATGAAGTAAAGGAGAACCAACACAGTTCTGGCTCCTAATGAGTCAGTCTGGTTGGGATGAAGAAAGACAGGCAAACAAAGGACAGGTAACACAAACCCCAGGAAGCACCTGTTAACTGCTACCAGAGAATGGAGACAATCACTGTCAGAATCAACACCAAGCAAAACCAGCGAAGGAGATGCACTTTCAGAATGTATTTTAAAATCACGTTGAACGGTAGAAAAATCTGAACTATGGATTCACAGAATCATAGACATGACGTGAACCTGCAAAGACCACCCCAGCTCCTTCACGTGACAGATGCTAAAACCACAGGCTGATGAGGAAGTCGCAGGGCTCATCTACCCCAGCACTTCAACTCAAGCCTCCTTAGCCTCGGTCCTGGGCATATTCTGGTACGCCACATGGGATGACGGCAGAAAGTGTCAACGAATGCTGGATAATCAAACACATTTCAAAAGACCGAGAAGCTGCAGAGATGCAAAGTGAATTTTCCTATGAAGCACAACTGTGTGTACATAAAATACCATACACATATATACAGATGTCTATTTGAAATAAGCGTCTTCCCCCTCTGCTTTTTCTCTTCTTGAATACAAAGTAGAAAATAGTAAAGATATTACACTGAAAACGTAACAAAACCCAATTATTAATAATAGCACTTAAACCTTGACAGATGAGAATAATGAATCTTGTCAAAACCCAGGAATTTTTATTTTACGTTAGTCTGAATATGAAGAATACGTAAATGTTTAATCAGCTGAATTAAGTGGCAAGATATTAAAAAGCAGGAAGTAGCTTTTAAACAACCTCAGTTTTGTATTTCCACAACAAACATCTGATTTTCTGAACAGTGTCTTCTCTGCTACAGTTTCACTGTTGGGTATCCAGTTTGGTCTTGCCGTGTTTGAAAACTGGCCGATTTATATCCGTATCACAATGAACAAATATATTCCTTCATGTATGACAGTTTCAGCATACAGAATGCAACCTCAGCTACCAATTATAGCTGCAAATGAGCAATAGTGTGGAATGAGACAGCCTGCTGGCTTTGTTAGTATTCTGTCTCCTTTGGGATCCCATGGGGAAAGGGGAGGCTCTGATGAAGAGAAGCCCTTGGCTCATGGTTTATTGTGCTTGCCACCAGCTGCAGACTTCTCATCTCATTAGTTCTTTTAGAATACTGTGGGTGAAGACAGCTGTAGCCTACTTGAGTCTTCAGCTCCTGGGTATTCTGAAGGCTGAATTTGCTATGCACTTTCTGTAATCCTTGGGAAAAAAAAAAGAAAGCAAATTCACCAGGCCAAGGAAATGCATTTAAAATGGGTTTTAAAATCATGTTTAAAAGTAGAATAATCTTATTGCTAAGGTGCATTGTGTTTAAAATTTTTTATGATTCAGTTTTAATTATCTATATAATGCCCAGAGGCCTGGCCAGGATGAGGGCTTAGTAAAACCATCATTACCAAGTTAGGTGTAATATCCCTAGACACTACTTGCTCCACCAATAATAGTGCCTGAACAACAGAAACAGACAATGGTATCAGCATAAGGTGTATCTGGATTAGTGTTAATACAACTCTATTTAATTGAAAACTCTAAAAGTAAAAAGGCAGGATACAATGTTCTCCATTGGAGAACAAAATAAAATACAGTAAATAAATGGATTACTGAGTGTCCACACTGGAGCCACAGAAAGCATTCATTACATTCTCATAAATAACTGTTTTCTGTCACTGGATACAAAAGTTGTGCTACCTCTTGGGTGTACATCTGCTACTCACTACAGATCTTAACAGAAACTCTCAATAGAAACCAGGTTCATTTCAAATACAAAGAATATTAGTTTCATGAATCTTTGAGCATAGTGGCTGCCCCCCCAAAATGCAAGTACAAAATCTGTCTGTGCTAAGCCAAACTAAATGTCCTTGAGCCCAGATTTAACTCCTAATTATGAATGGGGAAGTGAGTAGGAGGCGGAGGGGGGGTGCAGGCTGGGAGAAGTTTCTTGACAGCTTGTGGAAAAATAGAGATGAGCTCCAGACACCAGAAACTGCTTAAATAACCATGCATGGGTTACCAGAGGTGAGGCTGTGTAAACCAAGAAAAAGAGGACCCGAACCACAAGCATTAGCAGCTCCTTGGCACCTGCTTAGAAAAGATCAACCCCTATTTTCTTCCCTGCAGAGAGGGGCTGTTTTACTGGGTAAACATAAAAACTTGAGTGAGAGAGTAGGATCCCGCGGCCTGCTATTTAAGATGCTTTCCTTTAGCATACAGTGATTAATTAGGTGTCTATTAAAATAGCTCAAAGATAATCATTAAGTTTAAAATGCATAGGTACTGCAGTTCAATTAGCAAGGCTTATTTCCTCTAAGCACATCCTAAAAATAAAGATGAGGACGGGGGATAAAGCTGAATCGAGTATGAAGATAAGTAACAGACATCGTTTATTAGCAATGCCCTGAATTTTCCAGTATTGTGGCACCTAAATGAGTTCCTGGATCCTGTCACTGTTGACCCTAATGCCAAACAAATAACTGGAGCTGACAAAATTCAAGCAAGACTCCACAGAGTAAGTCAGCCCATTAAAAAAAAAAAACGTTTGCATTAAATTTTGCAATAGCAAATAACAGAGGTGTAAAGAGAAATAACATTTAGTAACTTAAGAAACTGATTTCAACGGTTATTTTCCAATAAGCAGCTTTCTTTTCTATTTTTAATTACATCTCCCCAGTGACTCCTCAACCTTTCAGGTTCCCACAGAGTACCATTAATATAGTATAAGTAAATCTCATTAATTCAGGTCCTACTACCTTGGAATACATAATCATTCGGACAGGGGCTGGGCTGAAGTTTATCTTTGCATGATCTATGAAAAAAAAGATTTGCTACACAAATTAATAGAGTAACAAGATCTCGGGAGAGCTGTTTAAACAGTTCAGAAGTGTTTTAGAGCAATTCAGAAGCATTCATTTGCATATAATTATTATGCTAATTACAAATCATTCTTATCTATTCATTAAAGCAG